GAACTGAACTCCATCGCCTGAACAGAGCGAGACTTTCTGAATCTCCTGCCCAGAACTAGACTGTATGTAGCCTACATTTCAAACTGATTTGTAAGGACTGAGATGGTTATCTGTCTGCCTTCCACTTTGTCTTCAAATGCATCTCAAACCATTTGGGGGATGTTACAGTGTCCCTAAAAGGCAGCAACAGTGTGACCCTTGAGTTCCAAAAAGTCAGAAGTGATGATATAAACAGACATTCTTAACTGTAAGCAACAGGGCTGTTTGTTTAACCATAGGCAGCTTTTCTAATTTCCGTTATCCATGCTTCATCATGGATATTTAAGAGGATATTTTGAGAAAAAGACTGCGGCGAGACTGTACCTAGCTTTCATTACAGTACACTGTTATCATTTTCCTGCTTTATTTGTATTAATCTTGTACTCCATCATAATCTCTATATGCTGATGCAAGCCTATGAACAGGGAAGGGCATCATGCCGCAGTTGCTGGCATGCACTGGAGAGTGAGGATCTATCCTGTAGGAGGGACAACCCCGTGTTCTTCAACATGCTCAGTACACTGTTATCATTTTCCTGCTTTATTTGTATTAATCTTGTACTCCATCATAATCTCTATATGCTGATGCAAGCCTATGAACAGGGAAGGGCATCATGCCGCAGTTGCTGGCATGCACTGGAGAGTGAGGATCTATCCTGTAGGAGGGACAACCCCGTGTTCTTCAACATGCTCAGGTTGCAAATCATCTGTATCAGTCCGTGGATGTGAAGCAGCATAAGTACACACTGCTAAAGTTACCCGTGCAGATTTCTTTGAGAAGAATTGTTCTTTGTCCATTAGATGTCCTTAAGCTGCTCAAGATTCTGCAAACTATAGACTTTTCTTAGAAACAACAACAAAAAAGAGTTAACACATTTCGAAACACAAGTTTTCAAGGTGTTAAGAAGCATCTCCCCAAATCCCAGGTTAAGATCCCCTGTGAAAAATACCATTGCTTTGAATCTGCTTGTTATCCTTTTAATCTTTGAATTCATATTTTGACTACATAATATATTCATAATTTAGGATAACAGAACACATTGCAGTGGGCATTCTCCTTTCTATTCCCTGCCCGCTAGGTCTCTAATCCCTCCCTGTAAGCAGTGGTTGTTAATGATTCTAGGCACTGGTTGTATTTATCTGCCAAATGCTCTTTGCATAGTAATCAAATCTCTGTATGTATGCTATGCTGTCCCTCCCCTTTGCACGGGTAGCAGTATAGTATGCATACTATTTTGTACTTTGCCTTTTTCATCTGGTATATTGGAATGCATTCCTATCCATAGACAAAGTACTCCATTTCTCTTTTTATACCTTATAGTATTCCATTGCATGGAAATACTCTAGTGAGACCCTTAATGCTGCTTACATTTATGCTGGAGCAAATGACAGTGCCCCACACAAAGGAGCAACTGTACCTGCTGATGTTATGAGCTCGTAGAAGTAGCTAACTTCTAAAGTACTGTACCCCAGTGGGTCATCATCATGTATTGTCCTTCCAGAGTTGCACGTACGTTCCTGTGTCTTCAGACCATCACAATGTATTGCTATGCTTGTAGGTGTTTGATTTCCTGATAGATAACCTCACATTTGCTCTTCCTTAATTGAATTTGAACATTTCTTCATATGTTTGTGATTCATGTGCTTTATTTTCTGCTGTTGCTTATTCCTGTTATTTCCGTGTGTGTGTGTGTGTGTGTGTGTGTGTGTGATTTGTCTCCCTTATTCTCTGTGATACATTTGCAAATGTTTTCCCCAGTCTTCTCTTTGGCTTCTTCTGTCTTGTTTTGGAGTTGGGAATCTGTGTAGCTGGTCTTGAGCCTGTGATGAGCTGCCTCAACCTCCTATGTGCTGAGATGGTGGAATTTCAGAACTGAGCCTGGTATATCCATTCTAGTTTCTTATTTTACCTCTTGATTCTTCTTAAGGCTTTTTTTTTTGCCTTGTTTATTGTTTTTAATGTACAATTTATTAATTTTCCAGTTTGGACAATTTATTAGGCTTACAGATTTTATGTCTACTTAGGAAAGCCCTCCTCACTCTCAAATGAGGAAGAATTCTGTGAGGTTTCCATTGGAATTTTCACATTTAAACTTTGGTCATTGTGGGATTGGTCCTGTTACGAAGTGTGATGTACAACACTCATCTTGTTACACAAATGGTTGATTGAAAACTCACTCCACCCCACTGTTGGTTAGGGCGCAGCTTTGTCCAAACATCTGGCTGGGCATGCTAGAATCTTCCCTTTTGCTTCTGTCATGGTGCTCTCATAAATTCTCTGCATTCCTCGATGTCTTTATGTTTATGTTTCAGAATAAGCAGCCTTCTCTACTTTCCCACGTGCATCTCAGATCTAGAAAAGCAAGAAGAACCTGTTAGTGCTTTTACTAGTGTTTTTCAGCCTAGAACCCATGGACACTGTTAAGTCTTAGTAATCAAGAACATGGAATGCCTTCTTCTTGTTTTGCGTTTCAAGTTTGTGTTTTTATCTTTATAAGTTATTCCTAGATATTTTCTTTACCCTCCCTCCCTGCATGTATCCCTCCCTCCCTCCTTCCTTCTTTCCTTCCTTCTTTCCTTCCTTCCCTTCTTCCTTCCTTCCCTTCTTCCTTCCCCTCTTTCTTTCTTTCTTTCTTTCTTTCTTTCTTTCTTTCTTTCTTTCTTTCTTTCTTTCTTTCTTTCTTTCTTTCTTTCTTTCTTTCTTTCTTTCTTTCTTTCTTTCTTTCTTTCTTTCTTTCTTTCTTTCTTTCTTTCTTTCTTTCTTTCTTTCTTTCTTTCTTTCTTTCTTTCTTTCTTTCTGTTGTACTAGGTCCTGGCCTTTCCATTTTCTTTTTAGAGCTGAAAGCAAAGGTATTTATTACTTTCTCGCTATTAGCTTTGTACTTAACTCCTTATGGTATTCTGTTACCACTGGTAGCTTTTTATGATTTTGAAACAGCGATCACTCTCCTGCTTCCTCTTTAATGCTTCAACCTTTATTTCTTCCATAGTCACCCTGGCCAGCTCCTCAGCAGCGGAGTGCATCAGCAGTAACAGTGGTCTTACTGTATGTCTTTTTCTGCTCCTGACCTTAGTAGGAATCCCTCCAATGTCTACCCATCCATCATGATGCTGACTTTATAACCTAAATATGTTTGTCATATATGCGGAATTTTGTTATAAGAATAGATGATGAATTTAGTTGAATGCCTTTTTAGTATCTGGGAGTGTGATGTATTTATGAGTTTCCATCCATATTCATGAGGGAGATGGTTATTGATGAGTGCTCTAGCTGAGTAGCTACACCACAGCATGCAGCCAGGGATCCTAGGTGCTATTGCCATACGTTCTGTAGAGTATGGATGTCATCACTCATTTTCACTGCCACTCTCTCGTCCAGAGCAATGCTTGACACATGAAAGGTGAGTAGTGAGCTGATGCTGTATAAAAACTAATATCCAGACTTACTAAGCTGGCAGATTTCAGGTGGATAATTCTTTGCATTTCAACCAGATTGCTTTTCTTCATAATAAGAGTCATCAATCTTTCTGTGCACGACACGCACTTCTCATGAACACGTAAACATAACTTAGGGGTAAAATGCTCATGAAAATTATTCAGACCGTACACTAAAACTCTTGTGCTGACAATATGCTACGAAGAGGGGTTCTAGTTTTTACTAAGTAATGCGTATAAGCAAAGTAGCCAACCTGGTAAGATGCCAGGATCCAGGAGCCCATTGCTTCTCTAAATGAGATGTAATCTTCACACCCTTATCATTCAGACAGGAAGACGGGGGTCTTTTTAACTGTCTCTCTGCATTGTTGGTGCCTGTTAACATCTATAAAAAGAGTTCTTAGGGGAAACCCTATAGTGTATAGAAGGATAAATCCTTCCAATGCCATCTTATTTGAAAGTGTTGTGAACAAAAGCACCCTTGGTATTTTATCACACTTCACAGAGGCATTTTAAAACATATTAGTGTTGAGGGTTCCTGAAACTAGAAATAATTCAGAAATTCCAAAAGATCTGTCTCCTGAGCTGAGACACTGTAACATTTACAAAAGCGCTGTGCAAATGAGAAACAAATTATTCAAATACCCAAATTCCATTTAGCTGTGACATTCTCATTATTTCAGTGAATACTTTTCTGGAAAATTTATGTTTTTAATTAATTAGCTTTGATAGTTATACCCCTGGCAGATGTAGCTAGGGCCTTTTGGGGGTGCAAATACTGCACCACCTGCCTGCCTATCACTCTTTGTTTTGAAACATAGTCTCACTACATTCCCCGAAGCTGGCCTTGAATTCACATCATGTAATAAGCCAGCCTTGAACATGTTAGCCTCCTGAGGGGGCTTACAGGCCTACACTACCAGGCCTGGCTGATAAGGTTCTTGAATTAACAAAATTTGATGACTTAGAACAGATAATAAAGAGTAATTTGTAAAGATTTATTAATAATGTTTGGATACACATTGGTTTGTACCCATACCTTCTATTAAGATTGTTTTTCAATGAACTTTGGTGGCTTATGTTTTACTCTATACTTTGTACATCTTACTCTGTTGATCATCATAGCTAAGGTATTTTGAAAATGCTTTTGCAAATATGGGAGCACACTGTTCCATTTCTGCAAAACTAAGCTTCACTTTTAAATATATGTGTGTATATAATATATATGCATACATTATATATTGTATATGTGTGTATATATGTGTGTATGTCTATATGTATGTAAATACATATTTAAAATCCTTGTACAAGTTCAGCAGCTTGCTGCTTCTATGTGATAGTGATATTAAAATCTTGCATGTCTACTATTAAAGGCCAAAGGCATTTCAGCTCATTAGCAGTCTCTTCACAAAACCTTTTCTAAGACTTTTTTATTACAGTGAAACACTGTACCCGGTTGACAACAACTTGGTATAAGGATTACTTTTAAAACTTCAATATTTGTATTGTTTTCTTTTGCCTGCCAAGCTGCCAAATGGTGTCACCTACCATACTGGAACTTACCAAGACCGGTTAACAAAGCTACAGGACCATCTTCGCCAACTTTCTATTCTCTTCAGGAAGCTGAGGTTGGTCTATGACAAGTGTAATGAGAACTGTGGCGGAATGGACCCCATTCCCGTTGAGGTAAGCTTCTATAGTAGGAGTGTGTGTGCCAGAGGTGAAGGGAGGTGGGCACCTGGTAATTTCCTTCTTCCTCCCTTAGCAACGGTCCCCGCTTTTAATATTATTTGTTTTACTTCTCAGAAGAGATAAAAATTTGAATATGTGTGTTTATTTATCATTAATGATTTTTGTAGCATTTGTTTTCCATGCTAGTGATATGTTTGTGTTTACTTATGTATGTTGGGATTTTAGTGACTGTGATCTCTTATTAGTCTTAGAAGAAATATTTAATTATTAGTGGCAATTTTTACCAGTGCTGAGAAAAGTTGTGTTTGAGTAGAACTTGATCAAAACGGTCGTGGTTAGAAGTCAGAACACAGTTAAGATGAAGCTAATGAGCTGAAGGCAGCAGTTGGAGATCGGTCTGTGAAGAAACACAGCATCCAAGCGAGAGGAAAGCAGTGATGGGGGGCGGGGGGGGGGGGACCGGGGTTGGGGGAGGTTGAAGCATTGTCTTCCGCCACCGAATGCAAGAGAGCAGAGCATGGGAAAGTGACAACGGAGGAAAAGTCCATGGAGAGGCTGGCGGAATAAACTTCAGGCAGAGGAGTTAGTGTGAGGCCGGAGGGTCCCCAGGCCGCTCTGCAGCAAGGGAGGTGCTTGTCGATGCAGGTCAGTTATATGTGGCCCAAGAATACAATACCTTTGCCACGTGGATCTTCTTCCACTGGTTCCTCATGACAATTTGCCTTGGTGGAGACAGACTGGTCCCTAATGTCGGCCTCATGTACAAGGGTTTCCTCTGGTGAACGCCATCACAGGCCACACATAATTAAGTATATTTTTGCTAGAAACATCATTACTCTGTAAATTTCTTATCCTACTGAAAGAAAACCTCACCTAAAAAATTAAGACAAACAAAAAGGTCTTGCAGCCACCCAAGTTCTGAGTGTCAAGCTGGTGGCGCTTGCATCACACATGTCCTCGAAGATCATGTAAAGGAAAACCTATCTTGCTTTGAATAGACAGTGAATGTGTCAGGATAGAAGCCACATCTTACACGACATTCGTCTTTAGTGTTTCAGCCAACATCTGGTAATTACGTATTTGCCAACCAAAGACATAGAGTATAACTTGATGCATGACAGGCAGTAGTTTTTTGAGGGGAGGGTGAGTTTTGTTATTGTCGTTATTGTTTTCAGTTAAACATAATGAACTTTATAGGGAAACCAAGGTCTTCTGGTGGTTAATCTTTTTAGTTTTTGAAATTAAAATATAATATAAAATACGCTGTTTTGCAAAAGAAAGCTGAAGTCTGGCTCATAGAATACACTGAAACCATAAGCTTTTAGAGCTGCTGCTTCAGACCTTCACCTGAAAAGCATTTCTTTTTAAAGCATTAAAACTATTTAGGAAATGGATGCAGTCTCCAGAGTAGTCTAATTCACATCTTTGTCCCCTCCAGCAACTTATTCCGTACGTGGATGAAGATGGTTCTAAGAACGACGACCGGGCTGGCCCACCTCGTTTTGCTAGTGAAGAGAGACGAGAAATTGCAGAAGTAAACAAAGTGAGTGATTAGTTTGTGCGTTTTGTATGTCAGAGTCCTTGATTAACAGTTATTCGGGAGCCTAGTGTAACTCTTAAACATAGTGTGGGCTTTGGGATTACCTGGGGTTGTTTCTGTGGGGAAGCAGAGCTGCTGGGGAAGATCATGGCTGCATCACAGCCCTCAGAGCCCAACGGTCATGGCCGGTTCACTTCCCCGAGCTGAACTCTGCCTCTCTACATGACGGCAAATGATGAAAACTTCCCAGCAGGAGTTAGGAAATCCCAGAGCTATGGCAGCATTCTCTTTTACTAAGCTTCAGGTAGTTCTCACGGAAGAGTAGACAGAGCTGGAGGTTCATTCCGTGGTGGAGATTTGGCCTCGCCCACCAAAAACTAACCACGAAACTGCCACCATCACCCTTTCACTCACAAACCCAGAGCATCCTGACAGTCTTCATTCTACTTGATAGACTACACCAACATGTTAGCAGCCTACTCTAGCCAAACGGCCTTCTGAGCTGCATGGAGGTAATTTAGTTCATATGCATAATACAGACTGTCAGTTACCTTGGAAAGTGTTGTTCTTGGGTGATTACATGGCATTCAATATACCCCAGTCCACATGTGCTGGCTCAGTGTGTGAGTCAAGAACGGTTCTCTTCTTACCTTTTTACTTTTCATAAATAGCCAGAGTTTTTATATAAGTAGAGTATAAAAATAGTCCTGTTTAAAATGTCATGCACTAAAACCACCAGTGTGCTAAATGTGATTGTCAGAGGTTGTAACCAGTTCAAAAAGACAGCGCACAAGTGCTCAAACAGAGTTGTTGTTTACAGGCTTGTTAGCATGTTCAGAAAAGCTCACCTGATAAGCAAGTATAGTCTATAAAAGTTCTGTAAAGGGATTAATGCCACACAGACTGAAACCATCCGCTTACAATGCTGTTAGCCACTGCAGCCCTCTTTCCAGTTGAAACAAAACATGCTAAGTGGATAGGAATTGCAACAGTGACTAGCCTGTTAAAATATATAAGTAATAGAGTTCTTAATTGATCTTAATAATAAAAACCCAGAGCCAGATATAGAGGGAAATGCTGAGAGATCTGAGAAGGAGCCACAGCCACACCTTACCTCCTTGTGTCTCAGCAGACAAGAGAGTGATTTCCTGTTTCTCTCTGCTTATATCCTGTTTCTGCCCAGTTATCTCACTTCCCATCTCTGCCCAGCCAGTCTCACTTCCTGTCTGTCTGGACAGACCTCCAGACCTCTATGGTTAGCTAGTGGCAAGCCCCATTCTCTGACCTTCGTCAGACTTTATTTGTACAAGCAAGCTATCACCACACATAATTAAAAAGAACATATAAAGCCCTTGGGAGAGCAATAAATATTATAGAAGTACCAGTGTTAATTACTTCATAATTTCGTGAATCCAAATCCAAATGAGACTTAACTTGAAAGCATACAAAAATACAGGATGCTTTTAGTACAATACTAGGCCAAAAAACAAAAAAACCCAAAACCAAGTAAAACCAAAATGAGATCTTCTTCTGAAAATGTACAAAACAACATTTTAAAAATCAAAAAATCAGATTAATAATGCAGAATTGTTTGCTTCAAAAATTAAAATTAATAAGAAGCATATTATAAAGGCATAAATAAGCATGTAGTGCTTGCCGAGGAAGAGACAGATTGGTAAAATGATAGCCAGAAAAAGTGCTTTTCCGATGAATATGAGAATTTAATACTACCAGAAATGAATTATGTGGAAAATTAATCATCTTTAGAAATAGAAAATTGGTGGGGGAATTAACTAACTTTTACACTACTGTATATTAAAATGAATTTCAAGGTTAAGTATGTCCAAAAAAACCAAACTATTAGAAAAAATAATAAGGAAAAATATACTTTAAAATCGAAGAGAAAGAAAATAGGGTCTTAGATTTAAATCCTGTAACTTAGGAATGTATTCTTTGAGAATTTCATATGGTACGTTGTTATCATTTTTTCTTTCTTTTCCCCCAAATTGTTCCAGACCTTCCCAAAAATCCACTCAGCTTCATGTTCTTTCTCTTTCTTAAACTGATAACCAGGGAGCCTGCATGGGACTGACCTAGGCATTCTGAATATTGTTACAGTTGTGTGTTGGTCCTCTTGTGGGACTCCTAACAGTGCGAACAGGGCCTGTCTCTGATTTTTATTGGCTTTTGGAACCCTGCTAATATTGAGTTACCTTACTCAGCCTTAATACACCAGGAGGTGCTTAGTATTACTGCAACTTGATATGCCATGTTTTGTTGATGCTGGGGGGAGACCTGCCCTTCCTAAACAGAAATGGAGGAGGAAGAGTAGGTTAGGTAGGTGGGAACAGAGGGGTGTGGGGAGGGACTGGGAAGAGATAAGGGAGAGGAAACTGCAGCTGGGATGTAAAATAAATACATAATTAACTTTTAAAAGGGATAAAGTTTAACAAGTTTAAAACATCACACATACACACAAAGAAAACAGCCACTGTAAACATGGAGAATGGGTTGAATTTGCATTGGCCAACTAATCTTTAGCATAACCTTGTAGTGCAGTTGATGTACTTGGTGCCAATCTGTTGAAGAAAGCTGGTTTTCCCTCTCCCAGTGGCTGTCATTTACAAAGATGCTTGGCCAGGGATGGGGATTTGTGCTCACTTCCCATCCTTTGTCCTGGGGTTTGTCTGGCTTGAGCTTGTATAGGTTTTCAGATGCCGCTGCCGTAGTCTCCGTGAGTTCATATGTACATCTACCCTGTATGTGTCTGGAGAAAGCTGTTTCCTTAAAATTATGTACCGTTTCTGACTCTTACAATCTTTCTGCCCCTGAGTCTTGAAGGATGTGGTGAAGACGTCTATTTAGGGCTAAGTACTCCAAAAGGTTTCACTCTCTACAAATTATCCAGTTGTGAGTGTCAGCGTTAATAGGATTGAGTGATGTACAGATCCATGGCTATAGCAATATATCATTAGGAGAGTTTTTTTGTTTGTTTGTTTGTTTTGAGACAGGGTTTCTCTGTGGCTTTGGAGGCTGTCCTGGAACTCGCTCTGTAGACCAGGCTGGCCTCGAACTCACAGAGCTCCGCCTGCCTCTGCCTCCCAAGTGCTGGGATTAAAGGCGTGCGCCACCAATGCCCGGCCCATTAGGAGAGTTTTATTGCTGTGTTCATTTAGTAGGTTTTCTTCTGTGTCCGTGACCTATCTAGTCTTGGGTTCTTGGCCTCATTAATAATATCAGGTTTAGGTTCTGTCTCATGGAGTGGACCCTCAATCCAATCAAAAGGTGACTGGTTACTCCCCTAGCGTTCATGCCGTTATTACAGCCGTGATCATATCCTGTAGGCAGGTAATTATTATAGCTCATAGAACCTGACAACTTCTTTTTAAAGGTGAAAGATGATTTTAAAAGAATATTTCCAACAAAAGTAGAAGTAATTAATTGCCATTATGACAAAAACCAAACAGAGTAACAAAACTGACAGTAGGAATTGGTTGGAATCAGGAGGGGCCTGAGAAATGGAATTTAGATTTGGAACGTATTCATACGTTAAGAGTTGTCAGGCTGGCAATGTAGCTGAGTGGTAGACTACTTGCCAAAAAAAAGAAGGGAGTGAAGGAAGAAAGGGGTGGGGGGGCAGAAACAGGCTGTTATCTTTTCTCCATGTGGTTGTATTAAGTTTCATTGCTGTGAAAAAAAAGAAAAGATAATCATGTATACTGAATAAGTTTTTTGTTGTTTGTTTAATTTTTATAATTCAGCAAATAAGTAGGTATACAGGTTCCTGAAATTTTGGTTATCTTGCAGTAAAAGTCAATGCTTCCATATTTCTTTTCTGGTTGATATAGAGTGACTTAACTCAGATTCTAGGTGGTATAGTATTGATTGTAGGTTGTTACAAAGAGGAAAAAAATCAATTTAGATGCTTTAAATTCCCCATTTAGAGTCAAACTCTGTATTTTTAATATTTTTTTATTTAATCAGAAACAATCTTGTTTTACATGTCAACCCCAGTTCCCTCTCCCTCCCCTCCACCCCTGCCCTCCATTTACTCCTTATCCCAACCCCTTTCTGCTCCCGAGGGAGGGTGAGGTCTTCCATGGAGGATCTTCAAAGACTGTCATATCATTTGGAGCAGGGCCTAGACCCTCCCCCGTGTGTCTAGGCTGAGAGAGTATCCCTCTATGTGGAGTGGGCTCCCAAAGTCCATTCTTGTACTAGGGATAAATACTGATCCACTACAGGAGGCCCCATAGATTAACCAGACCTCCAAACTGACATCCTTGTTCAGGGGTTCGGAATTATGTGGAAATTCATTTTTTTTAAAGGACTGTGGGGTGGGGGGTGGAGTAGGTATCTTCTGTTGACAGGCTAGAGACAGCACCCATTGACCTCCAACCTCTCTATATTTCTTAGGAGTTCCTAGTCCTGCATTTTTTGTTCATTTTTTTCCTCTCGTGTGCATGTGCAGGTCAGAGATGAAGGATAACCCACCCTATCACACCCCACCTTATTTTTTTGAGGCAGGGTCCCTTGAACCTGGAGCTTGGTGTCTGGGCTAGAACAGTTCCTGGGCCCTGCATTTCCACACTGCGGTTGTAGATGTGTGTGGACACATGTGATTTCTATGTAGGTGATAGGGTTCCAAGCTAAGATCTGCATTCTTACATAGCGAGCACTTTCCCCTGTATGATCTCCCCAGCCCCTGTTAGATATTTTGAGCACCAGAGAATAGTGGTGATCAGAGGCCAGAGATAGAAGGAGGCTAAGATTTGGCAAACTTCAACTTCAAAGCAGAATGATGAAGAGAATAAAATTCACTGCTGGAAAAAAAACAAGGTAGATTGGTAGGCAATTGAAGACAACTTGAGGGGGTGGGTTCTCTCCACGGTGTGGGTCAGGAATCAAACCAGGTCCTTGCATTTGGCAGCTAGTACCGTTACCCCCTGCGCCATCTCACCAGCCTTGAAAATATTTATATACTCAGTTCTCCTGGTCTGTTG